TTTTTGGGCATATTAAAGAATGTTTAAAGAAAAAATTGCGCGAAAAGGAGGAAAAAAGAGATGATGATGATCATTTCGATAATCAAATTTCAATAAATATTTTCTAAGTTGCGCAAATCTCATATAATTACTGCAGATCTGCAATTCACGGGGTGGTTTAATACTTTTGGGTAGGAAGTGTATCTTCTTTTTTTCCATTTTCTGAAGACTTAGAAATTTTTTCATATTTGTCTATTTTTGAAAAGTTTTATTATGTCTAATCCAGCTTCTTAGGTATATGTGTGTTAATTTTATATAAATTTCATATAGTTAAATGAGATATATCAATTGACTTATTCTAAAATTGCACAGATATGTCATATGTAAAATCTTTCTGTTATTTCTATTAGTATCACATAGTTTAGAATTAGGTTAGAGTTAGAGTAAATTAGGTAAAGGATATAAATATAATGATATATAAGAAGTATCATCTTGCATTGAATAAATTTACTATTAATTTTTAATTAAAACTAAGGAACGGTAACTATTCTAATCTGAAGCATAATAAAAATTAATAATTTATTCAATTTTATAATGTTTAATTTTGTGTAATACATATAATTAGCAACATAAAATTTTATTAGTTGATAAATATGCAAAACAGAATGATATTACATTACTTTGACATAAAAATTAATTGTTCTTATACTTCAGACAATTAAATATATTTTTTGTTCAAAGTATAAAGATAATCTATTTCTATATCAAAGCAATGTCATTTTGTCCTACATATTGATCAACTAATAAATTCTACATTGCTGATCATGTGTGTTTCACAAAAATTAAACATTAAAAAATAAATTATTGATTTTATTATAAGTCCTGTTATGCTTCAGACTAGAATGGTTACTGTTCCTTAGTTATAATTATTTAATTTAATAATAATAATTAAAATTTAAATATAACTTATTTATTTAATATATTATATATATACTTATTATATTTATTATATCAATTCTATTAAAATATTAGAAATATTATATTTGTAAATTTTATATCATATATATTACATTATATTAATTTATTATAATAAGTATAAATATTATAAATTAATTTTAAATTTTAAAATTAAATATATAATTAATAATAATTTTAATATTAATATATAAAACAAAAAAATTTTAAAAAATTTTTTTTTTATTATTAAGTATCTATATAATAAAATAAAATTTATATATTTAATTATTATATTATATAAATATTAATAATTATAATTATTTTAAAAATAAAAATACTTTTTAAACTACAGAAGGTAGATAAAAATATCTATATACCCTTTATAAAACATGAATTAATGTTAGTAAAATTATATGATTACAATAATAAATCACGTTTACATGATATTTAAGTATTTATTTATATCATAAAAATAAAAGAATAACAATTTGTTTTTTCTTTAAAAATCTAAAAAAAGGTAAAAACTAAAGAATTAACTGCAATATCTTTTCAAGTGAAAATAATCTTTATATATTATTTTAGCCAACTTAAAGTACTGATTTCAATCTAATTGAGGTTGAAGTCAAGAAAAACATCTGAGCTTATAAAAACCTTTATCTAATCTTGCTGATCTTAACTGATATATTAAAAAAGCATAGCAAGAAATTTTGAAGCATATTATCAAAATCCTAGATGATAGTAAGTATATTACAAATGGTGATTAATTAAGTACTAGTTACTTAGTACAAAATGTAGATATTAATTAGCTTTAAATAAAATATTAATTGATTTTTATTATTAATGCAAAAAAATTTTAAGTTTTATATTGAGTGAAAAAGTGTACGAATATTTTTATTCATTCTCTGTATTTTAATTAAATAAGTGAAATTATAATATTATAACTAATAATTGTAGAAATTAAAATATAATTTGTTAAAATCATCATGATAATTGTATTAAATAGTAGTAAACTTTATATTTTTAGGATTAATAAATAATTAGTTATTTTAAAATATTTTTAAATTAATATTTGCTAATAATATTTATTTATTAATGTTAAAGATTGAATTAATACTAGAAAAGGGTAACCATTCTAGTTCAAAACATACAAGACTTATAATAAAAATTTAATTTATATTCAATTTTTTGTTGTATTTGATTTTTTAATGTTTAATTTTGTGAAATAAATACATATAATTAGTAATGTAGAATTTTATTAGATGATCAATATGCAGAACATCTTTGTGAATAATTATTTAATATAGATTATTATAATGATTTTAATATACTATTTTTCATTTTTAAAATTAATTATAAAGTAATTAATATTTTAATTACTTTGCACATTAAAACATAAATTTTTACTAAAAAATATAATTTAAAAATTTTATTAATTTTATTATATAAAAATATAAAAAATATTTTATTATTTTATGAATATAAAAAGATAAAAAATAATATGTTTAAATTATGTTAATTTCAAAATTTAGCATTAATAGAATGAATTGATATTAGAAGTAATGGTTTAGAAATATTTTAAAATAACTAGTTATCTATCATTCCTTGAAATTTGAATTTATTGCTATTTAATGCTGATTGTAATATTTTATTATCTTTAATTAAATTAAACATTTATTACATTTATTAAGAAAGCAAAATTTATAATGCATTTCTATATAAATGTCAAAGTAATTATATTATTTTTAATAAATAAATTTTTACACTAATATTTCCAATTTATTGGTCCGGCTTAACAACGGTTAGTAATATGAATTTAATCTTTCGCTTTACAACTTTAGACATTATCAAGAAAGAATTGTCAATGACTGCTATTTCTCTTCTTATTGATTTATTATTTTGAAACATAACGATAAGGTATTATGTTTGACAAATTCGAAAAAAAAATTTTTTTTTTTATATTTAAAGCGGGTGACAAGCATTTTCACCATAAAAAATCTATCCTTTTTTAGTGAATTGCAAACTTTATAAAGCAAATTCGTCAATTTGTCCGAACTCAATGCTTAGGCTACCCACTATTGAGAAACATATACCGATGCATTGGTCCGGACCCGATTTATAATCTTCAACAATTCGTTGTTATTTAATTATGACGACGCTTCTCCACACAGGATTATTTATTGAAATTTATCTTCAATTTTGATTTCAAATCAAACAAGTATATGGATTCTTCAACGTTTGAACTTTATCATAATCTTTTTCACATGTTTAACAAGCCGTTTGCTCAGAAAAACGTAAGTTTTTCGATCGCTGATTGGCTAAGATTGTTCTCAAATTTACTTTACCATGGGCAGAAAGTTTGTTATATCACTATTAGTTGCCGACTTCGAAATGACGCCCAAATGACGCTCCAACAAGTGTTATATAATATTCTGACTTTTTGGAAATTTTTTTTTCACCGCAAAAAAAAAAATCATTTACCTTTGTAAAATAATATATCATAGTTTTGATATCACTAAGAAAGTTCAGGGACAAACTCCACCGTATTATATATAAACTCAAAAATATGAAAAAATATCTTAAAAAAATAAAATTAAAAGATCCCATTAAGAAATTTCACAGAGAGCGAAAAAAAAAAAACTCTCAAAAAAATAAAAATAAGAAATCTCAAGAAAGATCTCTCATGTTATCTTCAGAAGAAAAAAAAAATGATGTATCATCGCCATTGGACAATTTCAACGATCCTTCTCGCTCGAATCAAAGGGATGAGTCACATGACAGAACCTCGAATTCCGCTGAACACGGCGTTGCTCAATCCGAAAAACAAAATCATCTTCAAAGTCAACCTTCAGATCATCAAGACAATGATGTAACGCAAGATCAAACATCAGAGAAGCTCCAGAAAATCCAAGAGTCGCCCGAAAACGGTGTAACTCGAGATCAAGCACCAGAAAATCAAGTACAACCATCAGAGATACCCCAGATCATCCAAGAGTCGCCCGAAAACGATGTAACCCAAGATCGACCATCAGAAAACGGTGCAACTCAAGTTCAACCATCAGAGAAACCCCAGAAAATCCAAGAGTCGCCCGAAAACGGTGCAACCCAAGATCGACCATCAGAAAACGGTGCAATTCAAGTTCAACCATCAGAAAAGTTCCACAAATCCCAAGGTTTGTCGCCCGAAAATGAATCTATTCGAGCATCAGAGATACTCCAAAAAATCCAAGAGTCGCCTGAAAACGGTGCAACTCAAGATCAACCATCCGAAAACGGTGCAACTCAAGATCAACCATCAGAAAACGCTGCAATTCAAGTTCAACCATCAGAAAAGTTCCAAGCTTTATCGCCCGAAAATGAATCTACTCGAGCATCAGAGATACTCCAGAAAATCCAAGAGTCGCCCGAAAACGGTGCAACTCTAGATCAACCATCAGAAAACGGTGCAAATCAAGTTCAACCATCAAAGATACCCCAGAAAATCCAAGAGCCGCCCGAAAACGGTGTAACTCAAGATCAGCCATCAGAAAACGGTGCAACTCAAGTTCAAGCATCAGAGAAACCCCAGAAAATCCAAGAGTCGCCCGAAAACGGTGTAACTCAAGCATCAGAGATACCCCAGAAAATCCAAGAGTCGCCCGAAAACGGTGTAACACAAGATCAACCATCAGAAAACGATACAACTCAAGTTCAAGCATCAGAGATTCTCCAAAAAATCCAAGAGTCGCCTGAAAACGGTGCTACTCAAGATCAACCATCAGAAAAGTTCCACAAATTCCAAGATTTGTCGCCCGAAAATGAATCAACACAAGCATCAGAGAAACTCCACAAATTCCAAGAGTCCGATGTTACTCAAGATCAAGAATTAGAGAAGCTACATAATTATGATTTCAGCGATGATCAATCAGAAACGATCGAATTTTCATCGTCCAGCACAGAATCGACCGATTCAACGATCAATTCTCGTGACGTAAAATTCGTTGATAAGTACTGGGATGATCTCAACCCTTCTGAAGTCAAGTTTAAAGAAACAGGCGGATGGGCGACTGAAGGTAAGTTAACTAATCATTTGTCGATTTAAATTGTTTTTCATTTGTAAAATTAATTTTCGCCTGTCATGCGAATGCAAACTAGGATTGAGCGATAATGATCAGAGCTTCGATTTTCAAAAAGAACAACTTCTTTTCGGTGGAAAACTCAAGCACGAATTTCCAGAAAACGAAAATCAAAGGTCAATCGTAAAAACTTTACGAGATCATGAATTACCCGATAAATATTTCGTCGATGGTATTTACGTGGGACCACTCGAAGAACTTCCGCCTTACGGAAAGCTTTGCTACCTGTCCGGATACTATACTGAACAAGTGGTGAACCACATCACTAACGCGATTAGCATCATCGATTACACTACTGGAATCCCAGTCGGGAGATGGTTCCATAGATCCTTCTCACTAACAAGCTGGATGGGACTTGAGGGTCGTGATGTTTGCGATCAAAGTGTAATCGAGTAGTTGAAGATATATTTTTTATTTTTATTTTTGTTACGAACTTTATTTTATTTTAGTTTGTAAAAAGTTAATGTTTAATTTTTTTTTCCTTTTATAATAATTAATTTTCTCGAATGTATGAAATCAAAATGAATCAAAATTTTTTGTTCAAAATTTTCTAAATTCCAAATTTGAAATAATTGTTATTATTATAAAACCAACTTTAATGATGAAATAATAAATGATGCACTCTAAAATGTTTTCTCTTTTTATAAGCAGACGTGGGATTATAATCATAAATACATTGATAAAAATAAGCTTTATAAAATTACAGGTATCAGTCAAAGGTATTGTCTAAGAGTCTCTCAACATTTCATAACAAAAACGTGCTATATTTTTTCTCGTAAATTATTTAAGATTTTAAAATGTCTATAAAATAAATTATAATAAAATGATATTTCACTTAAATGATTCAACACCGATTATATATAGAATGGAAGTGAATGTAATTACTATATTACAAAAGCTCATCTAACGTATCATCCGAAGGTTGAATTCGCGTCAACAACTTCCTTGATGAATCACTTAGACTACCGTTAAGAAATGCTATAGTCCATATAATAAATAAATATTTATAAAAGTGATAAATTGATATTAAATAACGTTCTCCCCGTACCAGGTTCAAATTATCCAAAGCTTCGTTTGTCACTCACGACTCATCATATTGTCGTATCATGTGATTGTGAATACTATAAAATGAACGTCAATTGGGAATAGACATTTTATAAAGACGAAGATGATTATAAACGAATGCGTACCTTCTCTTTACAATGATAATGTACAACAACACCGTTGGGAAAAACAGCAAAAACACTAAAAAAAAAAAAATTGTGAGCGATATCACAGGATTAACAAAAAATTAATGAGCAAACACCAACCTGTGTCCAATACGACGTGTACATTGTGGACACATCTTATCCTCATCAATTTTAACCCTCCGAGATCGATAAAACATCAATTGTTCTTCAACCTAATTTTTTGTATTCTTATTATAAGAATTTTTGCGTAATAGTTATGAACACAAAGAAATCATACCTGACGCTTATCAGCCAACAATAAATTCTTAACGATCTTATTCGTATTCCTATTCTTATTATTTTCCCTAATATATCTTTCGACAAATTGAGATAATTCCGATACTTTTGTTGTGTGCGGAAGCATGTTCAAAGCCTAAGAAGAGGATACCACAAGGGTAATTAGAATCATGAAAAAATAAAGAACGATATATAGAAAAGGATTTGTATACTTACATCGGAAGCATTAACATATGAACCGTGCCGCGATAATAACCGTATAGCTGGGTCTAGCATTATTTTTTCACCATTACTTGGTCGTAGATATATTTTCAATAATGATATGAATACATTTTTTGTAGGATCGTCAGTTTCAATGTAATTCTTGATACAATATCTGCGTTTTTTTAAACATTTTTTAAAACAATATAGATTAGAAATTACTGAAAGATCGTAAGTTTATAAAATATAAAATTCATGTATATCGTACTTCTCTGCCAATTTCTCACTCTTTAACTTGTGTACATAAATGTTTAAAGCTTGATCATGTTGGCCAATACGACTCAGAAGGATTGCGCGGGCTTCATAAAAATCTAAGTGTATGATGATTATTGACCTTAGTTTGAATTCTTTTCAAAAAATATGACGATAAATATTTATGAAAAAGTATACCATCTAAAGGTAATCGTCCTAGTATCTTTTCTGCTTTATAAAAATTTGAATCATCCAAAAATTTTAACAAACTATTATTCGTATCTTCAATCTCCTTCACTAAAGAACCTAGAATCAACGTTAACTTATGTAAATTATTAAAAAGAAACAAAACGCACACTCTTTTTTTATAATTACCTATGATCTCTTCTGAATTCGATTTTTGCTTTTGCGATTCTAAATTTTGAATCTTGGCCAGATAAATGAAAACCAATTTATTATGATAATCTGGAGTTCGATCTTTAAGTTCATATATGATATGTTCCAAATATTTTATACACAAATCATACGAAATATCTTCGAGATAATTCAATACTTTATCTCTTGGAAGATTCTCGACCTCCGGATGATCATCAATAAAAATCTATGGATAATTTAATAATGAGTATTGCCTTTTTTTTTTTAAAAAAAAAAAAAAGAATAAAAAGAGAGGGGGAAAAAAAACTCACATCCATCCCTTCATCAGGATTGGTTTGTAATACCCATGTCGCGAATTCTATCAATAAATCGAAATTTTCTGATCCAAGTCGTTGAAGGTAGTATATAGTATGAAAGGTGCCAGTCATAGGACCTTCTGAAGATTGTCCAAGGCTAAAAAAAGAATAAAAAAAAAGTATTTGCATAAGCAACATTATAATATAATTAAGAATATATTAACTCCATATACCGTAACTAACTTCTTTAAAAGTTCCAGTGATTTTCGATGTAAGCCCTTTCCATGATACAAGTCTTTTAATTCTCTGAATTTCTAATAATTTAGATATTAAAAATATTATTTACTAGTATACGTATATATAAATTAGAAATAACGTTTTTAATATAGAAACATAATTTCTTATTTATATACCTTACGTTCTAATAACAGACCTTCTACTTCCTCGACATTACAATAATTATTTACACGAAGAAGTGGACCAACCAACGCATCATTGATGACCATATAAGATTTTAAAAGAGTTGTGTCTACCAATTCTGCCAGTTTCAAAAAGTGATCCAAATCACCATTTACTAAATTAGTTTGAAATGATTGGGAGCCTTGGTTATAATTAAGAACTTTAAATAATTTTTGACGACGATCTGTCAAATATTTTATTAATGTTTGAACCGCTTCTTCCAAAAGTTTTCCCTCTGATATTTAAAGCAAATAAAAATTAATATACACCCGAATTACAGAAAAGCAATGATTTCTTTAAACATTTACCAAGAACTTCCGAATTTTCAGCTTCTATTTCATTTTCTAGAACCTCTTTTTCTTGATCGTCGTTATTTTCAACGAAAGGACCTTGCTCACTATCGTTAAGTTTTATTTCATCTGAAGATTTTATAATTTTTGGACGCTGTATAGGCTTATGAAGAGCTCCTGATATTGATGGGGGATATAATGCAACGACCTCTGCGGGATCTGCATTTAAATCTTGAAAAATTGTAATTGCTCTATCAAATTCATTCTGACGGAAAAGATAATGCGCGCGAAGTCCAAGTATTTCTCGAAGTTTTGCATCCTATAAACGATAAATATCATGAGTCTGAGTTAGCATACATTATTGTTATATACATTATTTATTACCTTGTCATCAATCAAAGTTTGTCTAGTTAAACTTAAAGCTTCCTCGAATTCATTTTGTTCAACCAATTGATCAATCTATGAAAGAGTAAAAATATAAAATAAACATAATTAATATCAATTTATGAATATAATCCAATTCGACTCTATCCTTGGTACCTGTCTTTCGAAGCTTAACGGAATGAATCTCCAAGCATTACCATGACTGGCAACATATAAATATTTGCCTTGGTTAATGAGTCGTGCTTGAGGGAGTTCGTCAGTTTGGACCAAAGTCTGAGTTACAATATTCCTGACTTCCACGTTCTTCGGTAATATCGCAATAAGATACGGATGAGAATATCCTTGAATTATAAGGAGAATGAGTGCATAGGTTACCCTAATGACGGGTATAATTTAATTCGCACCTATTTCTTCTGGCGTTCCTGACCAGTCAATTTCTGCCTTTCGAGTAGGTTTTCCATCAAGCCCAACAATAATACTCTCATCTATTTTAAAAATATTCATAGTCAAATTAGATTTGAAAATTTTTTTACAGTTTATAAACATGCCCTTTCATCAAGAAACTTTGGTGTTCACAAAAGTACAAATATGAGTTAAAAAGTGAACACTTAAAAGTAATTCGATTAAAGGTTTTTCGAATTCATTGTATTAAAAACAATGATACCTACTATCTTTAACCAACAGAATTTCATTATTAGGTAACCTCGTCAATAACGGTTTGTTGACCTTAGAACCAATTGACATTCCCATATAACTAAATGAGGTGGCTCCTGGTGCACTACTCGAGGTCATTATTTCGGTTTTCTCACCAGAATCGACATTTATCAAATTATATTCGTTCGTCAACCCAAGACAAACTTTATCGTCACTAACCCAAACCATTGTTTTAATCCTATCATGAATTGAATGTTCCTGAAGAAGGATGACAATTAACCGAGAGAATGAAGATATCAATCATCAATGAGGAAAAGAAAAGGGTAAAATCGTCTCCACGTACCTTTGTATCAGTGAATTCTGTATCCCGCCAGGTAAAGACAAATAACTTTTTTTTTACACCGACTGCTAGACGTGTTATTGGAATCCCATTGCTACTTTCATCCTCGCTAGTTTCAACATGGGAAATAGCAAATATATTTGCGCCTCTTATATTGGATAATTGCCTTTTTAATTCAAAGGTGTTTAAATCATAGATATTTATATATCCATCTTGGAATGATTAAAACATAAACGGGGTATCATAATGAGATAAAGTCATAATTTCGATCTAATTTGGTACGATTAATGAATAAGTTATTGAACACTATTGGTGATAAATACCAGAAAGTGATATTAATATGTCAAGCTCCTTAATGATATCCAACTGTTCGATGGGTTTTTTGGAAAAATTCTTAAAGGTTTCCTTTAAGTCTACTTTCAAACCCTCATCCCCTATTTTCATGGGGAAAAATTTATCAAATGATTAAATATTCTCGAGCTTTTATAGTTCTCATGGTTAACCAAATGATAATAACATACCAAAAGGTTCTTTTACTTCGTAAACGTACAAGGCACCCGTGGAAGTTCCTATAAATAATTTCTGACCTGGTTTTTTTTTGCAATTAGTATTTTGTTTTTAAAAAAGCTTTCAACGATATAAAGAATCATTAAACGAACCATGAGCGAAAATCGATTCTATTTTATATGGTACTTTATCTAACGCTAATGAAACATTGAAAGCATCGTACATTTTTGACAGCGTATGATCTTAAACTAGATTGGACAAGTTAGAACCAAATAAAGAAAAAAAAAAGTATTTCGAGTAATTAACGGTTTTTTTTTTTTAACGGGTTTCTAACCATGCAAAATGTCAATCTATTTTAATAGATAAAATGATCCAAAGTAATCTGATCTGATCAACTATTATTATACTTAATGATTAGGTTCTGGAGATCCGCTTTGTCTTAGATCAGTTAAATTAATTTAAAGTACAAATAATACGCCACACGTCATGCAAAAGGAGCATTGCATTATTTATCATATTTTCAAACTTAATTAGTATTAAACCAAGGTGAACTATATTAGCAATCTACATCTGATTAAATTTATTTTACTGATATGATAGAGAAAAATAACAAATGATAATGATCATGAAAATAATTTATATTTTCATCTATGATTATTTAAATTTCTATTGAGAATTCCTAAAATTTTATTATTATTAAAAGACATTAAGGTAAATATTAATAAAATAAAAACTAATATACCAATAATTATTTTGTAATACAAAGTTACACATTATATAACAGAGTAATAAATATTTGCCATTTCCCTTACTGCCTGGTTCAGTCTGAATTATTACTACTAGAAGAGCTATTCTTTTCATTATCGGCCTCTTCACCCTCATCATCATCACCCTCATCACCTTGTCCAATCTCAAACTTCTTTTTACTAGATTTACCATGCGAAAAAGCAAACGGTGTTGCCAAATCGCCTTCTTCAAGTCTGTAATATAGATTATAATAATTAACAAATTATATTAAACATCATGATTAGATGAAATTACTTACTTCCGAAATTCATAATGTCCTTCTCCATCAAAGCGAAGAAGCCACTCATGATACTTAACTAACGAATATATATGTAAAACAAATGGAATAGATTAGCGTTGTTTCTCAACAAAAAAAAAATTCATACGAAAACTTTGTTCATATTTACACTATAATCATCATCAAGGCATAATATAAAAATATTTAAAAAAAAAGTTAATTGGTGATTAGTCTTGTAACAAATTTAACAAGAATAATCGAAAAATTTTAATTACCAATGAATGCCTATGAGATACAGTAAATAATGTAATTCCTAAAGTTTGAGCATGAGTATACATAATACCCTCAACATCGACACTAACTGCACTAGTACATTCGTCCAAAATAGCCTGTTCGAATTTATAACGTAAAATTAATGTTTCGATCAAAAAGAGGTAACAAACGACAAAGCAAAGTTTCTTACAAATTGAGGACGGTGATAAAAGAGTCTAGCCATAGCTACTCTCTGTAATCGAATATAAAAAATTAAATAAAATTTTAAAATGTTCAAATTTTTAAAATATTTAGTACCTGTTTTTCGCCACCCGACAAAACATCAGCCCAATCTTGCACTGCATCCCACCCTCCATCTCGAACAATTAAATATTCCAAGTGTACGACTTTAAGCAATTCCAATAATTTATCATCGTTAAATCCCTTGGAACGTGCTTGATTTTTTGTGTCCGGATAAATAATCTATTTAACAATTATTAGGTTAGAAAGTATAATTTAACGATTGGCAATCATATTAAATCATTTCATACTTGATCACGGAATGTGCCAAGTGCCAAGTATGGTTTTTGAGGTACGTAAAACAATGCAGATGCTGGTGGTTTGGTAACAGTACCATCTATAAAATTATAATATTTAAGATAGTTAATATATTTTAAAATGTTTAAATATTTGACATAAATTTTAAGTATCTTACCAAAAAGTGGCCAGAGATCACCGAGGATACGGAAAAGAGAACTTTTCCCCTACATTGTACATAACAACATGTTAATAATACTCTCAATTACATATACCGACTTTAAATCTACATACACATCCATTAGGTCCGGAAATGAGACAGTTCATTCCTTTTTCAACTTTGAAAGATAACTCTTTCACCTAACATGTAATTAACAGATAAGTTAAGCAAATGATTAATTGCAATGGATATATAAAAACAAAAAATGAAACTTACCAAAACGTCTTTATTTGGTGTAACAATTGGAACTTTATCAAAAATAATAACACCATCTTCTGTTATAATTTTACCCTTGAGGTCGTTTGGTGTCACCGCTGTGATTGCAGAGAAACTAAGTCAGTAAATTATCGGATACATGAAGACAATCATTAAAAGTTTAAATGACCTATTACATTGGCTAATATTAGCTTCATTTGAATCCTTGCTTATCATCGTACGTTCGTACCGACCTTTATTGACGTCCTCGAGGACATCAAAAAGTTCTGCGACACGTGACTGTGAAGTAGTAATACAGATTCATCAATGACATGATAATTAATAAACAATTCTTCAAAAAGAGAACGATCAACATGTATATATTAAAAGAGAACACACAGTGTATCCTGCAAATCTAGTCAAATCACGTCCAGCAAGAATTAATCTGCCAACAGCTTGTGATAAATTTACAAGGTAACCAGCTGTAATAATTTTTTTATATATATCAATATATATTATCGTTAAATTATTATGCTAATACGAGGAATGAAGGTCTCTTACAATTTCTTGAATAATCTTCCATAATCTTTGTTGGATCGGCGTCAAGTTTGCCCATGAATTCCGTAGCTTTTAAAGGTAAAAGGAACATTTAAATTAATCATAACGTTAAACCTAAAGAACATATTTCTTACCATATTTTGGATCAAATACGGGACGTGCCAACAGACTGTAAAGAAGTGATAATTTAACAATATTGTATATATATATACGATTTGGAAATATGAAGTTCGCAACTTACTAATACGCAGTCATGGTTGCACAATATTTAACCAATACTGAATCGAAAATTCCATTAGCGAATCGGAGTCGATATATTTTTTTAACATGTCGTACTATCTTATCAAAGCTTCCATTTACAACAGTTTTCTCTCGTTCACCACCACCATAAAAGGCAATTTCTTCAGAATGAGTAATGATTCGTGACTAGAAAATTAAATAGGTAGTCAATATCATATGATATTATTAAAAATTTTCAAAAAGAATGATCTTTACGTGTGTGAACCTAAAATCACCCTCAAGCTTTTGCTCTATGGCAGTGACTGTTTTAGTAATAAAAGTTAGCCATAAAAATTTCTTTTTAAAAATAAAAATAAAAAATTTGTATTTTTCTCACATTTTCCAAAAGGCGGTGAAATCGCACGTAAAAGAGCACCGGATACCATGAAGTACGCGATCATGAAAATAGGAGCTAAATGATGATGGTACAAATAAAATGAATTACAATAATCAAATGAATGTAGCATATATGATTGAATGAATTACCTTCTCGGCCACTGTAAAACATTAGATATTTCGAAATCATATTAATGGAATGTATATTCAAGAAAAAGGATTAAACATGATTGAAATTCATACATGGCTTCACCCAGCTTATACGCAAACAAGACCATATCTACTATGGGTTTGGCAATATCTGAATATAAATGACTCAGGTTTTCCGCGAATTTATCAATATCCTAATTTAAAAAATTAATTATGTAAGACAATTATTCTTTTTTAATACATTAAAATTAGAAGAGACGAATTTATACCTGCGTTAGCAATTGATCTGCATTCTGAATCCGGTTATCGATATTCGATATTTTATAAAAGGTAATGTCTTTTAAATATTGTTCATTGGCATACTTTAACGATAAGAAAAAAGTTATTTAATAATATTCAATTATAAAGTCAATTAAAAGTTTAAAGAACAGATGAGTTTACCCTTGTAAGTCTGGTTCGGAACGCTAAAGCCAATGCGCTTATCGTAAGTTTCAATGAATTGTTAATTACGCTCATTGGCCACTATTATAATTAATATAAACCAATTATTTATCAACGCGTCAATAAATAATTAATTAACTAAATATCAAAATAAAATAGTCACCATCATAAATCCAAATTCGACAACAGCCCGAGCAATAAAAGTTTTCCGATCACGAGATACGATCGCCTTAACAACGTGTCTATGAAATTTTGTAATTTAGAATTTAGAATAAAATAATATTAATGTTACTATAAGATAACAACTAACTATCGATCAACGCACCCGTTAAATCCAGAAAACCTATTAAATGTAACATCAAATAAATAAATAGTATTTAATTATAATTAGAAATAAAATAGATAATACCATAATTCAAGTGAAAAGGGTTTCGGAAGAGAATATAAATGAATTCCTCTTTTATTGAACCAGGAAATTCTACACGCTCCTTTCTATTGATAAATGGTTACATTCATCAATAATCTTACCATATATCAAGCCACGTGCGAGCTATTAACACCATCGCCAAAGTTACAAGCAAAGTTGCTTCCTTACTAGCAATTCCTAATAATGATTGTTTTGATTAAAACAATTTACACGTAAAAAAACGAAAATCATTTTTTTTTTTTTTAAAAAAAAAAACAAAGGCTTACCAGGTATACAAATGGGCAATAGTTTTTTTATTTGCGTTAAAAAACGCGAATCTACACCAATTCTCTTCTGCCTTCGATTTTTGGTTTCTTGAGCGTTTGCAGCATGTGAAACTTGTTTCTTTCTTTCTTGTTCGACATACTGCTTGATTAAATATACAGCAAAAACACCACCAACGAGTAAAACTGAACGTTTCTTTGATGAATTTAGTGTTTTGGAGGAAATTTCGGTTGGCAAAGACATAACCTGTCCCATTATGGATTATCTATTAGCAGCAATTTGCAACGACCATATCGTTTAAAACTCGAGTTTTTTTTTTTATCAAAAATTTTTTTAGATGTGAAACGCAGAATTACGTCAGCTGCATCCTAAAAAGGGTCTAAAGAGGTAAAGATTTCCTTATTAAATAATTTTTTGTGAAAAAATATTACTAATAACAAAGATGACGCAGTCGTAAAAATTATTTAAAATTAATTTTTATTGTTAATATTATTATTTATATTAATAGTTAATCTATAATCATTAAATCATTGCATTCGAAA